ACATGGGTGAGAGGTCGTACCTGGGGCAACAGATGTACGTGAGCGTGTTGTCGCCCAACCTGTCGTTGAGGGATGAGTACAACCTGCCCCCAACCCAGCAGCTCTGCGGCATTGTCAAGGGCTTGCCTGACCCGGCTCCATACGTGTAAAGAAGAATTATCAAGACCGTCTTCATTTTCTTCTCATTCCTATCTCTGCATATTTGTGCATGAGTAGTGGTGTTTTGTTTTCATCTTTGCCTTGACTTAATTATTAATTATTTAGCCCTACAACTTGAAGTTGTTTTCGAGAATACATATATATATGTGTGTGTGCGTGTGTGTGTGTGTTTGTGTGTGTTTTGGATGCCAACGATTGTGAGAAACATGATATAATATGTTCAGAAGATGAGCGAAGTTTTTAATTTGGTGTATGACGATGGAGATGGACTAACAAAGCCTCGTTTTCTTAATTCATTTCTACGTGTAGTTGTTTCATCAAGAGAAATATCAATTTTCATCCCATTCTAAAGACCATTATAAAGAAAACTAATTCATTTCTAGGTGTAGTATAGTTTCAAGAGAAATATCAATTTTCACCCCCATTCTAAATACCATTATAAAGAAGACTAAAGTTTTTCACACCGTCAATTAATAAGTTAATTTTTTCACCACACTAAGTGTAAAATAAATTGGGCAATCAGTTATGTGACACAGACGAAGATAATTGATAAAGTATGAAATATTTAGGCAATAAACTGTGTGGCTGATAGGCAAAGATAATAATCAAAGTGCGATAAAAATTGTGTGATAGACTAGGTGACAACAAAACGAAGATAATTGATTAAGTGTGAAATAATTTATACGATAAATTATGATACAGAAAGACGAAATATTTGATAGAGTGCGAAACAAATTATGCGGTAAGATATGCGAAGATAATTGATAAAGTGCGAAATATTTATGCGATAAACTATGACATAAACAGACGAAAAATAATTGATAAAGTGAAAAAGAACTTATGCAATAAATTATGCTACAGAAAGACAAATATAATTGATAAAGTGCGAAATAAATTATGCGATAAACTTTGAGACAAAAAGGCGAAGATATTTTAAGTGCGAAAAAATATTATGCGAGAAACTATGTGACATACATGAAAAATAATTAATAAAATTTTCCAAAAAACTTAAATGACAAATTATGTGGCAAAAAGACAAAGATATTTGATAAAGTGCAAAACAAATTATGCGATAAACTATGCGGCTGACAGACAAAGACAATTGATAAAATGTGAAAAAAACTTATGCGATAAACTATGGGACAACAAGACGAAATAACTGATAATGTACGAAACAAATTATGCGATAAACTATGAGACAAAAAGGCGAAGATACTTGATAAAGTGCGGAAAAACTTAAGCGATGAACTAGGCAACTGTAAGACAAAAATAATTGATAATGTGCATAACAAACTATGCGATAAACTATGAAACAGAAAGACGAAGATACTTAATAAAGTACTAAACAAATTATGCAATAAATTATGCAACAATGAGACGAATAATTGATAAAGTGCAAAAAAAACTTAAGCGATAGAAAGACGAGGATAGTTGATAAAGTCCAAAATAAATTATGCGATAAACCATGCGACAGAAGACGAATATAATCGATAGAATGCGAAACAAATTATGTTATAAACTATGAGCTAAAAATGACGAAAGTACTTAATAAAGTGCGAAACAAAACATGCGATAGACTGTGCAAAAGACATGAAAATATAGATGATAAAGTGCGATAAACTATACAACAAAAAGACGAAGATAATCGATAAAGTGTGAAACATATTATGCGATAAACTATATGACAGACAGACGAAGATTAATAAAAGTGTGGAATATTTAAGAGATAAACTATGCGACAGACATGCAAAGATAAATAGACAAGTGCGAATTATTTATGTGATACACTATGCGACATACATAAGAAGATAATCGAGCATGGTGCGAGAATAATTATTTGATAGATTATAGCAACATCACAGAGAGATTCAGGAGTTATTACAACAATTCGACGAGGTGTTGTTCGAGCTGAAGGGGCTTCCTCCACGGCGACCCTTTTATAACCACATCCCAGTGAAGAATGAGAGTCAGGTCGTACACATTTATCCATAGCGATACACTTACTTTAAGAAAACGGAGATCTAGAGGCCAGTCCATGAGATGATTGAATCTGGGCTATTTAGGCACAACATGAGTATGTTTTCCTTACCGGTGCTACTCGCGAAAAAGAAAGACAAAACTTGGAGATTTTGCATTGATAATTGAGCCTTAAACGCAATGACCATCAAGAACTGTTTTCCAGCTCTGAGCATTGAGGACATGTTGGATGAACTAGGTTTTTTTCTAAATGGGATCTGAGGGCCGACTACCATCAAATCAGAGTGACGGAAGCGGATATTCCCAAGATGGCCTTTAGTACACATCAAGGGCACTACGAGTACTTGGTGATGCTTTTCCGATTGTGTAATGCACCTTCAACCTTCGAGTTTGCCATGAGTTCTATATTCCAAGAGTTCATGCAAAAATTTCTTTTGGTGTTCTTTGACGACATATTAATCCATTCGAGAGATTGGGAAGGACACTAGGAGCACTTGCGCGCGGTCTTGAAGTCTTTAGCCGAAAATTTGTTTCACACCAAACCATCTAAGTGCTCATTTGGACAGGAGGTGATGGAGTATGTAGGCCATATAATATCTCATGAAGGCGTGCAGGTTGAACCTCAGTAGACCGAGGCAATGGTCGAATGGCCAAAGACAAAAAGTCTAAGGGAATTTTTAGGGCTAATGGGCTACTACTGGAAATTCCTAAAGGAATATAGTTTGATATCCAAGTCGTTGATGGAGATGACTAAAAAAGACGAGTTTACGTGGGCCACGACAAGATGCGTTCGATCAGCTCAAGCAGGCGATGACCGTAGCGCCCGTCCTAGCCATGCCAAAATTCGACGAGATGTTTGAGGTACACACCGATGCGAGAAACGTTGTGATTAGAGTTTTTATTACACAAAATGATCGGCCAATTATGTTTTTTTTATCAAGTCTTAAGGAAGCATGTGCGTCGGTTGGTCGGTGTATGTGAAGCATATGCTAGCAGTAGTGGAGGTGGTGCGAAGTTGGAGTCCCTACCTTTTAGGGCGATGCTTCTGAATTTTGACTGACAAACGGCTGCTCAAACACCTTTTAGAGCAGCGAATAATGACCACAGAACAGCGGAAGTTCATATCGAAGTTGATGGGATTCGATTTCGATATTTGTTAATAGTTGTGGCGTCAAAACTTAGTGGCAACGCTCTATCGCGTCGTAATGACATAGCCGAACTGCAGGCTATTTACAGACCGATATGGCTATATGGGATTAGTTACGCGAAGTGCACTCCCAAGACGCTTTCTGTAACAATATTCGTCAGAAGTTGGGCACGAGAGATGAGACATTCCAAGACTATGACGACCACGGTGTGCTGCTGTTATTCATTTAAAATGTGTATGTGCAAGACATCAATCAATTATGAAGCACGCTTATGTGTTGCTTTCATAGTTCGACTGTCATGGGCCATTCCGGAGTTTATCACACGTACTGGGTGAGATTGTCCAGTACCTTTTATTGTTCGGGTCAGCAGAAGGAGGTGCATGATTTTGTGGCAAGTTGTGACAGTTGCCAGCGAGTAAAAGCGGATTCACGCTGGACAAGTGGTTTGTTGCAGCCCTCACAGTTACCCGATCACAAAATTGGAGAATGTTTCGATGGATTTTATCGAGGGGATAATGTTGTCCAATGGATTTAATGGGATCATGATGGTGGTGGATCGGCGCACCAAGTATGTACATTTTGTTCCACTAACCCATCCCTACACGGAGAAGTCTATAGCAAAGTTGTTGTGGTCAAGTTACATGGGGTGTTGAAGTCTGTTGTGTCCGACAAGGACTGGATTTTTATGAGCAACTTCTGGAAGAAATCTTCAAGAGGCACGGAACAGAGTTGGTCATGAGTTCGACATATCATCCCCAAGCAGACAATCAAACAGAGGTGACGAGCAAAACCTCGGAGCAATACCTCAGATGTCACATTCATCAGTTTTTAAAAAACTAGGAAGAGTTTCTACCTTGTGCTGAATTTTGGTACAAAACGACCTATAATGAGTCGACTAAATTCACACCTTTCGAGTTGGTTTATGGTCAAGTTGCTTCCACTCTTGTTAGCCATCCGATGGAAAAGTCTTTGAATATAGAAGTTGACCGGGAATTGATGGAATGTGATTTGAAGATCCGAGAACTTAAAAGAAATTTGTACGGGTCGATAAATCACATGAAGGAGTATTATGACAAAGGGAGGCGCGAGGATCAGTTCGACGAGTGGGTTTATTTGAAGATGCGACCTTATCGTCATCGCACGATTTTGCAAACAGCGTTGCATAAGCTCAGAAGTCGATTTTACGGGTTGTATCATATCAAGCAGTCCGTGGACAATCTGGCGTATTGGCTTGATTTACAGGCCAAGTCTCAAACTCATCCAGTCATTAATGTTTCACAGTTGAAAAAGAGCTTAGGTGAAGGTACAATGTTGGAACGCGCCTACTGGCGGTGGATACAGAAGGACAACTCATTGTGCATCCTAACCGGGAGTTAGACTATCTTCGAGTGAAGAAGGTAGGCCGATTTTTTTGGGAAGTTTTGGTTGAGTGGAACAAGTTGCCGGAAAAAGAGGCGATGTGGGAAAATATGGACGATATACGTATTCAATTTATGACTTTGATCCTTGAGGACAAGATTTACTTGAAGGGGATGATAATGATGTGAATGAAGGTCAGATGCTAAAAAGCACATACAATCGGGCGAGACATGCGTGCATTAAAGAGGCTCGCGCGGCAAGGGCTGACCCTCGAGCAGCAGCAGACGACCATCAACGAGACAGCGGCACGAGATAATGTGAATGTCGACGAGACAGCACGAGGCTACGTGGGTCAGCCCGAGGCAGCTGGATCGTCGCGCAGCGGCCTGGGACTCTCGCGCATGGCGTGAGGCGCAAGCGGGCAGGCGTGTCTTGAGGTTCAAGCCGACCAAATTTCCTAGTTTATCTATTGTTATATTTCTATTCCTAGTTAGCATATGTGTTCGGTTATTTTGGAAATTCTTAGTGCTTTAGATATTCCTTTTTCTTAGGATTAGTATTTCTGTTTTTTAAACATCTTATTTAATCATGTTTTCATTAGTTAATAATAAATAACAAAACACTCTTTTGAGCAACAAAATTCTCGTAACCAAGACCGTTAGTACGAGTTTCCACAAACACAAAATCCACGGTACACAATTTTCATCACATGTCCACCACTCGCACCAGATCTACGAAGCCGTGCGCTACTTGATTTTGGCCAAAAGCGCCAAGAGGGTTGTGTACATGACCTCTCCGGCAAAAGCTGGCTTGCCGTCTTTCCCACTGGTTATGCTAATATTTTGCTTATTTTTTGCCCTGATTTATAGGGGTGGGCGCGGTCTGGGACGGCCTGGGATTTGGCCTATCCCGGTATTTTGAACCGGTCCGGGAATGGTCCGAGACGAGACACCGTCTCAAACGGATCGGTATCAATCGAGAGCGGGACAAAACGGTTTGGGCCGGAAAAAAAGGGGAAAAAAAAAACTCAATCAAATAGCAAATACTTATTCCATTAACACACAGGCCACAACATCAACATGCATTAGAACTTAAAAGTTCAAAACAAACATACACATACTTTCTTTCACTCATTCAAAGTCCACTAACAACAAACTTAAAGTTCACTAAAACAACATGCTCCAAAAGTCCAGTAGTTCAAAACAAACATACACATTACTACAAAGTCATTCTGTTTAATTAAAGTTAAACCAAGAATCAAACCAAATACATACTCACTTGATTCACTTGAACAATGAACAAAAGAGTGTTGATTGTCTGATACTCTGATTCCATTAAAATTATTACAAACATTAAACATACACCATAATTCAAACTGAAAAGTGAAAACAACCTAATTCCAATCATCATAACCACCATCTTCAAAACCATCACCTTCATCGTCTAAGCTTTCCACATCGACCAGAGAATTGGGATTTTAGGGTTCTTGATTTTGTGAATTGGGATTTTAGGTTTAGTACTAAGAACTAGACTTCGAATTAGAATTTTTATTCTCAATTTGAGAACTAAAACTGAAAAATGGTGATGAGGATTTGCCGATTTGATTTGAGAATCAGAGAATATGGTTGAGGTTTGAGAATGAGAAATTGAGAGTTGAGACAGAACAAAATTCAGTAATTGGGAATCTGAGAAGTGAACTTCACAATTCACTTCACTCGTAGTCTCATAATCTCATATCTCTCCACTATTTGGGCCAAAATTAAATGCCAATACAATAAATATGGGTTATTGTTTAGTTAATAATTATTTTTTTT